AGTTCCTCCGTGAGACCTGACTATACCAGCCTCCCACAGAGCCTCACTGCCTCCCTCCTGGCCCCCACTCACTCACACCCCACCAGCACACACCCGTGGGAGGCACTGCAGGGGCCAGGAGCCAGAGGAATCCTCTAATTTGACTTTAGTCTCCCAAGGCTCTTGTCCAGCACCTTTACAGCTTCCAAGGGAACAGCATGGGCCTCCCTGGTCCTGGGAGGCTGATGGGGTCAAAGGACTCTGAATAGCGTGTGGCTGGGTCGGTCACCTCTGAGTGTCTGGATTATTGTTGAGATAGGGGTGAGGGGTCTGAGGCCTATAAAAGAGGGGGGCTGCTGGCTAAGAATCTGACCCAGTATCACAGGACCTCTGCATATTTAGATTCTCACATGTGGCCCCCGCCTTGTGCTATTCAGCCCTTCTACTCTCAGGGATGGGGCCGGTCCCCCTCAGGAAAGGGTGGTCTCCACAATGGCTGTGAGACCAGGCTGGCTCCTACCAAAGCACCCACCCCAGTTCCAAGTCTCTTTGGGGCAATAGGGGAAACTGAGGCCCAGTGAGCCTTATCCCAGGACAATTAAGGCGGGGGGGGGGGGCGGGGGGGGACTGCCAGCCAAGCCTCCTCTGTCTACTAGGACTCTCCCGGGGTGGGGCTGCCTCCTGACTGCGGGACCATTTTTTCCCAGGCCCCCTCCCCAGCACTCCACCCCCATTCCACAAGAGGCGCTGGGGGAAGGGGAGGGTGGGGCAGGGCTTGAGGGAGGACACCCGCCTTGTTAACAAGGTCTTCCCAGCCAGCTCCGCCCGCCCCGAACTCCCCAAACCCTTCCCAGGCGGAAAATTCAATTAGTCTCAAGCAACTGCTCGGCTGAGGAGGTAGAGAAAGGGGGCCTGGGGGAAAGAGGACCCGCCTGGCGGCTGTTGTGTGCTGGGGGAAGGGAGGGGGGCTTTGGGGAGGGGGAGGGGTGCTGGGGGAAGAGGGGTTCTGGGGAAAGGGAGGGTGCAGGGAACAGAGGCAACATGGGTCATAGGCAGGCTGTTTTTGTTACTCTAGCCTTTACCTCAGGGTGTCCGTAAATGTGGTTCTGTAGGGCTGGGGAGATGGCTCAGCAGTTAAGAGCACCGGCTGCTCTTCTAGAGGACCCCAATTCAATCCTCAGCACCCACATGACAGCTCACATCTGTCTGTAGCTCCAGTTCCAAGGGATCTGACACCCTCACATAGACATATGAGCAGGCGAAAACACCAATGCATGTGAAATAAAAACAAATTTTAAAAAAGTGTGGTTCTGCATAAGTGACGCTGGTGTGTACTCTAGCCCCAGAGCCACACTGGTTCTGACCTGAGTTAGTCACAACTGACAAGAGCGGCTCACCCCAAGTCAGCTCCTGGCTCTAATCCTCCTGGCTTGGAGGCCAGTTTAGAGGGGCGGCATACAGAGAGAGAAGCGGACAGTCCGCTGCAAACGGTGTTAGACCATTCTCCATTCGTATGGTCTATTCATGTGTTGCCCTCCGCTCCCACAAACCCATTCTTTCCCACTGGCTTCTTAACTAGCCATCACTCTTCTTGTGACCACAGGACCTTTGCATATACCTTGTCTTCAATCATCCCTTCAAACACCTTGCCCCAACTGAGTTAGGCCTTCTTTTTTTTTTTTTTTTTTTTGTTTCTCTGTGTAGTTTTGGTGCCTTTTCCTGGAACTTGCTTTGGAGACCAGGCTGGCCTCGAACTCACAGAGATCCGCCTGGCTCTGCCTCCCGAGTGCTGGGATTAAAGGCGTGCGCCACCACCGCCCGGCCTAGGCCTTCTTTTCACACTTCATGTCCCCTTGAATTTGCAGCTAGCACCCAGGATGCTCCCTGGGAGGGAGAGATAGTTGTTGTGAACTACACTACACTGTCCTTGTTGTACGGCAAGGAGCCTGGTACACACCAGGTGCTCAATCAGTGTTGGCTGGGTTGTAAAGTTCCAGGCAGTTTGGACCCAAGTCTCAGGTCTATATAGGATCTGAGAAAATGGCAAACGCTTGAGCAGGGAGGCTAAGGCAAGAGGATCAAAGATTTGGGCTAGCCTGGGCTACGCAGTGGTTTCAAGGCCAAGAGTAGTCTAGGTGACAGTGAGATTCTGTTTCTTTTTGCTGTTGTTTGTTTTTGTTTGGTTTGGTTTTTTGAGACAAGGTTTCTCTGTGTAGCCCTGGCTGTCCTGGAACTCACTCTGTAGACCAGGGTGGCCTCAATTCAGCCCACCTCTGCCTCCTGAGTGCTGGGATTAAAGGTGTGTGTATGTTCTCCTTGAGATTCTGTTTCAAAAAAAAAAAAATGAGAGAGAGAGAGAGAGGGTGAACGCAGCGGACATGCCCTTTTGAGTGGGTGTGTCCCTCTAAGTCCTGCCCTCTCCTCCAGGATGCTCAGGATGCTCAGAGTGGTTCTGGGGATCAGCAGGGCTAAGCACAGAGCTTGGCTGCCTCCGGGAGTGTCTCTGTTTCCTCTGGGGACTCCAGGTGTTCTTACACATAGGCCCTTCAAGGGCAAGCTGGGTCCTGTTGCCTGTCCATGGAAGGCTTCCCAGAATCGGGATGGGTCCAGGACTCACTTGACCAGCCTTTTTCCTTGGAACCCTTACCAGTTTAGCCCCCAGGACCCCTTGGGTCCTCTCAGTCCCTTGTGGGGAAAAGACTCCAGTCAGACCCGGGGTGGATGTCCAGTCAGCCCTCTTTATCCTGTTCCTGAATGTCCCAGCATAGTAGGGGCCAACAAGTTTAGGAAGTTTCTCTAAGGACTGAGGGTTACCCTTGGGAGGGATTCTGGGGACCCACAGAAGGCTGCATGTGTGGAGGAGGTGCCTGTCTCGAAAGCACTTTTTTTTTTTTTTTTTTGACCAGTGTGATCGTCAGACAAGGTAGGGAAGGGCAGGGGACTTGGGAAGCACCAGATGTGAGGAGGAGCCATGCTGAGGAATGTGGGCAGCCCCTCCCCCTCTCCAGGAGAGACAGAGGCAGATGGCAGGCTGGGGGGGTGGGGGTGGAGAGGATGGGGGAGGTGGCTAGCCCTGCCAGAGTTTCTGATGGTGCCCAAAGCTCATCCTTGGGAGCTGGGGGTAGAGGCAGAGCCTGCTCATGTTTCCAGCGTGCCCCCTCCCTTCTGCCAGCTGTGTGCAGCTGGGGCCTCAGTCTGCTCCGAGGAAACCCAACACTAGTGTGTGTGTGTGTGTGTGTGTGTGTGTGTGTGTGTGTGTGTGTGGTGGGGCTCAGGAACCTGAGGTCTCCTAGATTCCCTGACTCCCAAATGCTCTGATACTCTGCTGGTAAAAGAGGTGACAAGGGAAAGCCATCCTTGGGTTTCTGGGATCTGACAGGTGACATCATCCCGGAAAAAACTAGACAGCACAGTGTAGACAAGGTCCCACCATAGGTTCTAAGTCTTCAGCAACCCCCACAGTCTTCACATGACACACAGGTTTGTGTGTGTGTGTGTGTGTGTGTGTGTGTGTGTCTGTCTGTCTGTCTGTCTGTCTATGTGCTTATGTGTACCCAGGTCTGGGGAGCTTGAAGCTTGAAGTTTTGGTATGGAGAACCTGAGGACAGAGATAGAAGCATACATTTGCAAGGAAAATATTTGGGGTCATACATGCCCGCAATCCCACCACTCGGAGGTCAAGACAGGAGGATCAGAAGCGAGTTCAAGGCCAGCTCAGAGTACTTGAGCCCCTGTCTCAAAAAAAAAAAAAAAAAAAAAAACACTCCTGGCCGGGGCGGCAGTAGCACATGCCTTTAATCCCAGTACGGATCTCTGTGAGTTCGAGGCCAGCCTGGTCTACAGAGCGAGATCCAGGACAGGTACTAAAACTACATAGAGAAACCCTGTCTTGAAAAACCAAAACAACAACAAAAGACTCCTGACCTTTATATGTGTGTACACATCACACAATTATGCACAATAAAAATTTTAAGTTGCAAGAGTCTACCCTTGAGCCTCAGTTTCCCCACAAGGGCAATTGCCTGTGGCAGAGGTCCATGACCACAGCATACATCTGGGCATGCTCTCAAGGCTTCTTTCTCCCACGTGAGCCTCCCCATCTCCCAACTCACCAAGGAAAACATCTGCCTAGAGGTCCCCCACACAGGC